TGCTGCTTCATCTGAGCTGCCAGAGGCATCTGTCACGGAAAGGCAACTGTGCATATACGCACAGAGACCAGCCCCAAAAGACACATTTCCTGAACTATTCTTTCAATTACAAGCAATGACTCTGCTCTTTTCATTTAACTTCAGGTTTGCTAAACATGCATACTGGGATAAAACTCAATTTCTGCATTTGTTTCCTTCTCAGGGAGACTTTTCTGTGTCTCCATGACTCAGTACTAGCAAAGATAATGAAGAGAAGAACTTTCTTAGATGAGGATGATGAAAAAAAAGGGAAAAAAAGCAACTCTTGTTCCTAACATTGTCTAAATTCTGTTCACCTCTACAACTATTACTCTGTGGAAGGTTTGTGGCTTTGGAATAAAGCAAGAAAAGGGAAAGAATAAGGCAGGACATACTGTCTGGAATCTTTAGAGCTGTGATTTCAGATATCCAGACTTGTACTGGGACCCCACTTATGCTGGCAGTCTATGCACACATACTGGAAAAAGGTGGACCCTCATCCATGAAACTACAATCTAAATAAAATGAAGATAAACAAAACCAATGCCTGACTATCTTTTGGTGACATCTAAACAAAGAGTTGCTTTGGACATGCTTTTATTAATGTTATTTGGACTGCTGCAGTAACCAACATTACCGTACACTAAGGAAATACAAACAAAAGAAGAAAATCTCTCACAATTTCTCTAAATTGAGCTATATGATCAAAAGAGTTAACTTGGTGGCAATGTTTTTGGTTTGGTATCGAAGCTTTAAGGCCTAGGACATTCTGAAAGGCAGAGATCTGCAGCTCCTAGTTGGCAAGCAGCTGAAATTGCAGCAATGAAGCAAATTTTGTGTAGCTGTCAAACAAGGGACCCTCTCACTGCGTTAGTTGGATTCCTTCTTTGTTGTCATTGTTCTGATCCAATTAGTCACTGACTCTAAATTAAGAGATCTGATAGGTCTGAAAGAGATACAAGGGTAACAGAAACACAAACAAAGGGTACAAGAGGAAGAATTTCTCTTTTTTCTTACAATAAGTGCCTCAATAACTCAATTACATGCTTTAATTAAACTTTAATTATACTAAAACAACAAAAAGCAATCAGAAGGGGACTTTTTTGATTCAATACATGCCAGAAATACAAGAGATAAAAATGAAATAATCCAGGAATCTGTCATTATGAGTAAGCTCCCTAGGAGCTTGTTTTAGTTACTTAATATCACAAAACATAGAAAGAACAAGTCTGCAAACCACCAAAGCAGCTGTTCTCTGCTATTTCAATGGTGAGACCACACCTGGAGTGCTGGGTCTAGGTCTGGGCTCCACAGCACAGTAGGGACTTGGATGTACTGGAGAGATTTCAGTGAAAGGTCATGAAGTGATGAAGGGACTGGAGCACCTCTCCAGTGAGGAGAGGCTGAAGGAGCTGGGGCTGTTCACTCCAGAGAAGAAAAGACTCAGTGGGGATCACAAAAGTGTATAAATATATCCAAACTGAGGGTGCAAAGAGGGTGGAACCCGAGTCCTTTCCATGGTGACCAATGCCAGGACAAGAGTCCATAGGCACAAACTGGAACACAGGAGGTTCCATTTGAACATCAGGAAGCACTTCTGTGCTGTGCAAGTAGAGACCATTCACTGATTTAGGACTTCCCATTCAGATGTTTATTATGATGCAAGAGAAGGAATGCTGGACAGCAGAGCTTGGCACAAGGCTCATTATATCAAATATCAAACACGCCTTCAGAGACGAAGCTGAGGAACTGAACAACAGATTCTGAAATGCTGAGATGTAGAAAGCAGAGGTGTCCTTGACCTTCCTGATAACAGAACTGCTGATGACACACCAACAACAGAAAAACTGCTTGTCTCCAACGTAAAAAAGCAGAGAATTCTTGCGAATGTATTCTAATCTATGTGCACCTCCAGGGTCCCTGAGCTGGTACAGTGAGAAAAATACTGAGTTATGAAACATTCTGAATTACGACATATCACTGCCTACATCTTTGAGTACTGATTTGCACATATTTCTGTGTTAACTAAGACCCAAGTTATCTATCTCTTCTATACTGGCTGGTCTCAGTTCAAAGGAAAAGAACTACTTTTTTAAATGTAAGACAAGAAGAAAGTAGAACTAAACATACTAGCCCAAAGAAGACTACATGATATGTTTGTGCTGTATGGTATGTCTATACTGCCCAGTGCAGTTGAGATCCTCAGGCTGCTGCCAGAGCAGGTAGCCCAGACATCAGACTGGCACAGTCATGGTAAGGCAGAGCATCGTGGAAGATGATTTATCCTGAAACAAACAGCTGTAGTGTTTCCCATTTCTCATCTAGGCATGCTGAACTGGCTTTGATGTCTGTACACTGAACAGCACAGGAACTAGAGAACAAAGTATGTGTTTTATTAAATCAAAATGAAAGCATGATTTTTTGCTACATAAAAATTACATTCTTTGATGTTTGAGTAGAAGACTTCCTTACTAAGTAAATTATATGAAGCTATCAAATGATTGACCATGATGAATAAGAGAATGTTTGTTACATCACATTTACAAGATGAATTTATGATTAGTGCTGCTTATTTATTACCGTCTTTAACCCCTATTTATCTCTGCACTAAAAAACTTATACAGGGCTGAGGCTTCAGACACGTGAATCTTGCTTTATCACATGCTGGCACTTCTAAGTTTCTGATGACATTAGTCTAAGCACACTAATTTTTATACTGATTTTGAAGACCTGACACACATCAGTACTTCACAAAAATTTGTAATTATTATGTCTCATCTTTTGTACCAGTAAGAAGAATTAGATTAATGTGGTCAAGAACTGATGTGATTATACTTGCAGAACAGCTGTGAAGAGACTTCAGTTTCAATTCATATTTATTGTAAATATTGTTTACCACAAAAATGAATTAGATGCACTCACAATTCTAATCTGAATGTTCCAATAGCAACAGCTTTACCTGATTTTAATTTGGAAATAGATTTAAACTAAATAACCTTTTCACTGGCAGAAAACAGCAACCTTTTCATCAACCAGACAGGGACATTCTCACGTTCCACAGTTCAGTTAATAGTTACAAAAAATTTCAGAGAATCACAGAATGGTTTGGGTTGGAAGGGACCTTAAAGACCATACAGTTAACAACCCCTTCCTGCAGGTAGGGCTGCCACCCACCAGCTCAAGCTGCCTAGGGCCCCATCCAACCTGGCCCTGAATGCCTCCAGGGATGGGGCACCCACAGCTTCTCTGGACAAACTGTTCTAATGCCTCACCATCCTCTGAGTAAAAAATTCTCCTAATACTGATCTAAATCTCCTCTCTTTTTGTTCAAAATAATTCCCCCTTGTTTTGTCACTATCTTCAAAAAGTTGGTCTCTCCTCTTTAAGCTCCCTTTAAGTACTAGCAGGCCACAATGAAGTCTCCCCAGAGCATTCTCCAGCTCCCTCTGCCTTCCTTCACAGGAGAGACGCTGTAGCCCTCTGATCTTTGCTTCTTCTGGACCTGTTCCATCAGCTCCACATCTTTGTTGTGCTGGCACCCCAGACCTGGACACAGTACTCCAGATTGGGCATCAGGAGTGAAGAGTAGAGGGGGGACAATAAAATTTACATTTTATCTCTTAATAATTTTCCTTTCTTCATCTGCTCCCACAAGCTGTCAATAAACATCACCAGAAGATGGACAATCAAGGCATTCTAACCACCTTCTATTCCCATTTTCTCCTTCAGCCCACTATTCTCAGACCAGGATTCATCATCGATGCTACTCCACTCCATAGCTAGCCCTTTGGCATCAAGCTTTCACTCTAGGTTATTAACCAAACAAATGAGCATACAAGCTTTCTATCAACTCATGGCTTTCTCTTGCTCCTTGCCCTACTATTATCATTTGACAACAACTCAGTAACACACAGCAACAGGCAATGCAAAATATTCTTTGTGTAAACTGTCCTATTCCCTCCTTCCCTTGCTTCCCATTCTTCTTCTTTGTTTTTCATTTGGTTTCCTCACTGCCCCAGGTTAGTTCTTTTTTGTCCATCTGATCGTTTATTTTCCTTCTCTATATTTCTCCTAGTCTCTTCCAATCCTCAAAATGTTACACACAAAGCTGAGAGGACTTTGAAAGCAAGATATTCAAATGACTTTGATACCCAACAAATAGTCATATTTAACAGGCAAACATTGTCTCAGATGTAGAAGCAAAGTGAAAAACATTGCTTCAGATAGGTTTGCACTCTTCAAATTCTTAGTTTGTTCCTGTTTTTAAGCTATATGAAGAAAGGAATTTTAGCAAGAAATTAATGTGCTTAATAAGAAAGTGAAAAACATTCACGATCAGGATTCCTAGGAACTACTTTCTAGGGAAATAAATTCTCGCAACTTTTATTACACTTTCCAAATATCCTTATTTTTTTTCTTGATGTCACAGCCTAAATCCCTCACTCCCACTATCTTCCCACATCCACATCTTATTTTTCCTGACAGTCTTTTTTAAAGGTTATAATCAGGTCAGCATCCCTGGCAAGCAATGGATGGTGTTTGTACAACTCGTAAGGGGTTCAGAAGCAATGCACACTACTAAAATCAACAGCATATGCCCACGTAAGACTGAAGACCTAAGATATTGAACAAACCTATTCAGAAATAAACATTACAATCTCTTTAATATTTTCACAATTTTCATAAAGAGAAAGCATTCCAAAACACTAAATTCTGAGCAATGTATACAGCATATTAGTGTTTTCCTTTGAAAATTGCTGAAGTCTATTTTAACATATTTTCCCATCCATCAGAAAGGTGAGTTATTGCATAGGCTTCATTACAAACCAGATGTAAAAAAGAAGGGCCACATAGTATGTGTTCATACCTTAATACCATATCCCATTTTGACTCTGCGGATTCTTCAGAACATCAGCCATCAGCATTTTTTACATTTTGTCACCAGGTTTATTGGAAAACTCCAGTAATTCAAAGGTACTTACCCAGTCGTATAAGGTATATTTATTCCCCCTAGATTAATGCTTTCACATCCAACAATGAAGAGAGTTGAAAAACACAGCAAAGACACACCACTGCAGATCATGGCCAGCTTTGCAGACTCTCTTGCACCGAGTTTCAGTTTTTTGATTATGTAGCCACCTAGGACAATACCAACACCAGCACTTGGAACAATTATTACACCTGCCAGGAAGAAATTTGAGTGACATTAAAACAGGACCTACAGAAATAGCATAAATAATAACATAACATTTATTTAATTCCCTAACTAGATGATTACAAATGCTGCACTAAGATCTCCATTGTCTGATTCTCTACTAGCTAGCAAACTGAGTCAGACTTTTCTGGAGTGTTGTCCAAGAATTAATAAAAGCTTCCTTATGATATTACCAGCAGCCAAAGCATTATAAGAGAACTATTGTATTTACAAGCAGAAACATTGCTTTGTATTTACTTCAGCATGCAGATAAGGGATACACATTGCTCCTAATCACTAAAAATGTGAAATCCAAATTTGGACGTTCATCTTCCTCTTCCTACTCTCATGATTAAGTCCAGCAAAGCATAGATGTTAACCTAGGGCAGAACCCCTGAAGCCTGTCCACCTGGCAGCACATGCACGCAGCTGGCTGAGAGCTCTGCATTGTGGTAACTTGGCTCGAGTGGATCAGCGCCTTCCTACATAAGTAGCCCCATTCATTTCAGCGCAACCACTCAACGTGTCAACTGATCAAACATGAAGAATGAAGAAATTAAGATCCTAGAATCAAACACTGTTAGTTTAAGCTACAAAATACATGTCCATTAAATTGGTGGCTGTCTGGCAGTATGTCACAGGGCTGTCCTTACTTCACAGGGCCAGAGGCATAGTTAAGTGAGAGAATTTCTTTCAAGCTTCTCCTTGGCTTTGCTTCCCAATAACACAAGAGAAATAAGACCTTTGTTAATAAAGACGTATTCCATATAAATACAGAATTCGAATAACCTTCAGCAGCATTGTCTAAGGAGAAAGAGCTACATTAATAACACAAATTCTTAAAGAATTTATCTTGTTTCTAAAGAAGCCTGCAACTATTACGTCAAAATATTTTTAATAATATTGCAAAGCATTCTTGTTCTCTGCTAATTTGTCTAAAGGTGAAAGAGACATTACATTTATCAAAATTTTGAGATTGTGAAAGTAAAAATAAGAGGTAAAAATAGTTGCCACCTGAATTATACTTCCATCACCAATGGCATTATAAAGTAAAATGTCATTTCATAAGGAAGATTCTTAATAACAACCCTTCACAGAATCAAAAACGGTCTTTCTCAAAGGAGCAGAATTTAAATTTCTAAGTCCTTCAAGGAGAATTAAACTATTTTCACAAAGTTCAAAGCTGTAACCTCTCTCAAGTTTCAATGACTGAATACGAACAAGGGAAAGACATGCCAATCCTTTTGCTGCCTCTGAAAATCTTCTCTTTAGATGAAAATGGGGACTCACATGTAAGCCTGCCATGCCTGCCCTGCTATAAGAAGCATGTACCAGAGAAGCCCATGTACCCACCAAACACAGACTGGGATCACTTCTGATGTCTTCTAAAACACTTGTGTCAGATGAATCAAATTCCATGGACCAAATATTTGGCTACACCAGTTACATGAACTAAGGCCAGGTATAGGATTATTGAATATAATTTTTTTATTTTTCCTTCCACCTCACAAAGCTTGGAGTTCTTAACGTCTTTTGGACCAGAATTTATATTTTCTTTCTTATTCTCTTGAATGTACTGGAAAAGCCTTTCCTTAGAACCAACATCATATGCATCTAGCACCCTGTCGAAATTGAGCATGTAGGTATTTTGTGAGGAATTAAGTGAGAGGGTCTTCCATTATGAGTTATTCTGTGCTCCTGTTTGCAGCCATCCTTTGCCATACCATGAAGAACAGAACATAAAAAAGAGGAGATGAGCATGAATAAACTGCCCACCAAGGCTGCCTTTCATTCAGAAGGGCAAAAAAGTAAAGGCAAACCTACAAAAAGGACATAGAAAAAAATATTTCTCCACACAAACTGGCAGAGAGGATGGAAAAACCTTTCTCTGGGAGAAACTTGAAGGGCAGGAGCAGATTTAGCAGCAGACAGAAGCGCTCATTCCTCTCTGTGTGTCAGGAAGCCTGAGAAGTTCTTTTGCCTCAAGCTCAAATTCTTCATCCCTGCGCTCCTCTCCTCCTCCGCAGGGGATGTGAAATCAGAAGTGATATACTGTCAAAGGAACGCTGCTACTACAGTGCACTTCCAGAAGAGCTTGCAGGGCAAAGCCAAGCATGTACATCTAATCAGGACAGGCATTCTTCATTTTCAAAGCCATTTAGAGGAATAAAGCTTAAGATCTGATATAAGCCGTTGCACTGCACTTTCCTTCATTTCATAATGACAGTTTGGCTTACAGGAATTGTGCATGTGCCAAAAAATCTCCTGGAGACAGTGCTCCAAGGCAATATCAGCTTTCAGTCAGCAATTTTCAGGCTTTGTCCTTTTTGCTGTTGTCAGTATACTGCAACACTTGAGGCTTTCCACAGTGGCAAAAGATGATCTTAACAGTTACTAATAGTCTGGTAACAGAAACACTGCAATATCTACTAAGAGAGCTGTACTTCCGAAGGGAATAGCATGGACAATTTTCAAAGCGATTCTGTTTGAGATACACCCTACATCTTTCCTAGACCTAAAGGTAGATCCAACCTATTTGTCTTCACTTTAGCAGAAGTTACCAGAGCAGGGTTTTGTAATACAGCAGCTCTTCCAATTACAAGTTACTTGAATTGTAACTCTTTTTCACAAGTATATCTTCTATCAAAGCACATAAATTTTTTTATATTTTTGTATTTATCTAATATCTATCTGCAACCCAACCTAAAGTCAAAATTAAACCCATCTACAAACAAGACAAGATTTTAGCACAAGCTGCAGAAGTTCAAGATGTGAAATTCGGCACATAGAATTTTTGCTGCTGTCAGTGCTGTGTTTGTTTAAAAATATAAATAAATTGAAACTTAGTTAAGAAACTGCTGCTTATGCACTGGCATGCAAAATAACTAATACAAAACTCTTACTGTTCACATACAAGGGGATTCAGCAAGGTAACGTATATATGAAATACAGATGCAGATATATGAATAATTTGCAAGTCCTCCTTCTGTTAACCAGAAAATTTTGTAAACTGGTTATGTTATTTATTAAATTAACTAATATAATTTAATGCAGAATCTCCAAGTTTCCTTTTCCAGATTTTCCTAAAAAACAGCAAACTCCTGTGGATCTGTAAATAGCCTCAACTCCAATAGAACCATGGTTCCATCAATCAAATTTTCTCCTTATGTACAAGGGATTTCATGCCCTCACTCCATCAAGCTTGCAAACAGAAGTCAACTCGTGGTACTTCTCTGATGCTTCTCCTATACACTCTAGAGAGACTCTGCATTTTTTCCTCAAACCGTAGGTGACAAATGATTCCCACTTAGTGACTTGCCCCCCTTTCTCTTGCTGCCTTTTTTCTTCTCCTTGCACCTCACCTACACTCCCACAACTCACTCTCCACCCCACTGCACCTTGTCAGGCGTATTATCTGAAAGAATGGAGGAGCAGAGAATTAGCAATGAACAGCTATTCTATGAGTAAGGAGAAGGCAAAAAGATGCTTAGAAAAGGAAAAGAAGAGATGGAGACAAGTGCCTCTGATGTAGCTAGGAGAGAAGGGTGATGATCTGCATGCCGTAGGCATGACTCTGAACAAGAATTTGGCCCCTTCCTCTAGGGAAGCTGCTGCTGAAGGCCATCCCTCCTTGCTACAGAACCGACGCTCTCAAGCTGAAGGAGGCATTGGATGTAGCTGTACACTGTGGCAGGAGAGGAAGTGGCATAACTGCAAGAGCAGGGCCTCAGCAATACCAGGGCCCGGGGAGCCATCCTGACTAGGCCGTGCCGCTGTGTGCTCCATGATGGCAGGGACATGGGGAGAAGAGCACAGGCACCTGGGGCAGAGATGAGGAAGGGAAGGGCAGGGTGGATAAACAGATGGCCCCCAGGGAGAAAAAAAGGCTAGGATATTTTCAAGATCAAAAAGAAAGTAAAATTCACATCAAATAACAACACTTAAAAGACCTTTTAAGCCACACACATCACAGTAACGCTCCTGGGTTTTCTAATTTGCTTTTCTTGCCTTTTTTTTTCCCCCTACAGGCTATTAACATATTATAAAAGGTCAGTGTCTGCACACACACACACAAAACAGCCTTCCAACAATTTAAATTGGTTGACATTTTACTAAAAAAAATATAGCAAACATCAATGAGCAGCCTGAATACCCAAACCAGCGCACCAAGATAGATCAAATCACCTTTCCTAAAAGCCATGTTTTCAGTTCATTCCTATATTGATTTACTTCATCAGCCAAAGAACGACAACCCTTGCAATGTTACACTCATTGGCAATGCCTTACCAGTGTAGATGCTGGCATTGGATGCTGGGATGCCAAACTGTGACTCGATGAACTTGGGAATGAAGGTAATAAAAGCTGTAACAATGGCACTCTCAGCTGTGTATGACAAACTCACAAAAAGGAATGTCATGTTGCTTAAGATCCTGACAGCTGCCCGTGGAAGCTCTATAAAATGACAAAATTACAAATGAATGTTATAAATAATGAGTGAAAAACAAAAGCAAATTGGAACAAAACAAATTGATTTCCTTTGAGATGGACTGTAAATAATGGCTTGCTAGCATCTGGCTCCATTTGCTGAGCGGAAGGGAGAGTGCATATTTCGCATTGCACTCTTTGCTGTTTGTTCTTACACTATCTCACTGCATTGCCTGGGGCTGCAGTCCCATTTTTCACAAACAGAACTGAGGTCTGTTTTAACAACACTGTCTGAAGAAACAGGACCTACAAAGTAACAGTAAAGAGCAGAGAAAAACAGCAAGAAAAAGTAGAAAATTAGGAATTATTCTGATGTCTTCTTTTGAAATTTTCTAGGAGATAACACATAACCTGCTACTGAAACAATACTGAATTTTGCATTCCACATGAGGAAAAACAATCCATACACCTCTGTAGCTCTCTGCTTAAAGGACCACCATTGGAAAAGTGAGATAATATTATTATAATTTGAAAAGGAAAACAAAAGATTTTAGATTACAAATTTTTAAACATGATTAAAAAATATTTGCAGTGCATGCACACAAAGCATACTGAGAAAATGATGTCAGTATCAATTAATCTCAACGTATATTACATATGTACAACTCTAGAACTCACACAACTCTAGTGTTCCAGAAGAGATAAAATAATCAATTAAAAATGAGCACATATCATTAGCTTAAATTTAAAAACCATTCATAGCTGTTGTAATTACCCTCAAATCAAATATCAAAACCCCATGAAATTCAGACTGTCATTAAAAGAAGCGCTTGAATACTTTAAATGCAGCCCTATAGAGATATCAAGTTACCATCACAAAATGATGATAACTCTATTTAAGAGTTAATTTTTTCAGATTACATGGCATAATTTTTAAATAGTGGTTGGGTTTTCTTCTCTTGGGGCTAAGATCAGATGTTGTGTCCAAGCAAGACAAGTATATTCAGCCCAATAAAGTTTGAGTTTTTTCATTAACTTTTCACAAGAACTGAACACTGCCTGAACCAGAGTCCACTGAACCCAGTGACACAACCATTCATTAGAAATAAACAGCTGAATAAGTGCAGAACAGCAGAACTTCTGTGTGAGAATGATACTGATGTTGAAAGTCATCAAGTCAAATCAGTGTCACTTACTCCACGGACTTCAGCAGGTTATGCGTATAAAAGCAAACAGAGTTTAGACTTGTCACGTCAAAACTTGTTAGACTGCAAATTAGCACTGCGGTTGTCTGATTGCATCCAGTCTTAGCTTATGCCAGTTGTCAAAAATTATACTGATTTCATTGTGCAAACAGAGTTTATCATTTTAATGTAGTCAAATGCTCTCTTGCTGCCTCTATGAAGAAAAATACTAAATTTGGTGGAAATAAGTAATAAATAAGTCTTATTAAGAAGCATTCATGTATTTGAATCTTAACATTTTTAACCACTTACTGCTTTTTTTTTTTTTAAATTATTATAGCACTGTTTACAATAGTAGAACAGAAAAAAACCCAAGAAAACACAAGTATGTGACAATACAATATCAATGTGAATATATGGAAGCTTGTGAATCAGCTGTACATCAGCTGAAACTGCATGAGAGTAGCAAGAACGAAATAAAACTTTATCAGTATTTATTATCAGATATAGCTCAAAATACAGATGATCAAAATGAATCTCATTATTCAAGAGGAAATGAAAGAGAAAAACATCAAAGGTGTAAAAAAGCATTCGTCATCAAATCTCACCAGATTTTGCTTTCATTTTGGGGTTGGATTGTGTTGGATTAGCCAGTGAGGGCACAGATGCAAAAAGAAACCAAAGAAACAAGAGCCAAGATGCTTTTGCAAAGCCTCTCATGGGGCAAGATGATGCAGTTTAAGAAAATGGCTGACACAGGACAGCTGCTGCAGCATTTCCTTAGGGACATGGCATGGGACTGATCGCCATTCCCACGAAACAGCAGCAAGTAGTTATAATCGTGTTGTTGCCACTGGATGAAAGGAATCACAAAAGAGAGTGCCAGGATTGATTTTGCTGAAAACTGAGCTACTGAGTGTTTTGAAACATAGGCAGCAGCACTCAGCTCTCACTATGAGATGACAGAAATGGTGGCAGTGAAACCACAAGCTAAGTGAGGCAGTTCATTACAGCACCAAGACCAGAGCTAACAAATGCAGGATACCTCCCCATAAACAAACACATCTTCATCTATGAGGTCTTTTCTCTCATATGAAGAGGAATGAAGAACAAAAAGAGAAAAGATTTTGCTTAGAAAAACCAAATAAACATCTTCTAAGACTCCATGTTGGCCCCTACCAGCTTTTTTGTGCGTCAGTGCTGCCTCAGCAAGAATAACATTTTCCCTGTTTTCAGATGTAGAAAATAGACGAGACATCTCTGTTCACAGAATCACAGAAACAGTAAGGTTGGAAAAGACCTACACAATCATCCAGTCCAACCATCCACCTATCACCAACAGTTCTTACTAAACCATGTCCTTCAATACAACATCCAAACGTTCCTTGAACACCTCCAGGGTCGGTGACTCCACCACATCCCTTGGCAGCCCATTCCAGTGCCTGGCCACTCTTTCAGAGAAGTAGTATTTCCTAACATCCAGCCTAAATCTCCCCTGGCACAGCTTGAAGTAATTCCCTCTAGTTCTAACACCAGTTACGCAAGAGAAGAGGCCGACCCCCAGCTCCCTACAACCTCTAATCAGGTAGTTACAGAGAGCAGATGTTTCTTCAGTTCTATCTTCTCTGCCAAAATTGTAGCAAATAAAATTTTAAAAAAGATACACTACTGAAAACTTTTTACAAAAGTGAAGGTGCTTGTTCAATAAGAACGAATGGTATTAGTTTCAGCCATGCTGACATCTACTGCAATATCTGGACGTTGTTTGTGGTTATTAGGATGGTGTAAGATATATATGTAAAATAAAATTGTTACAAACAACCCAAAAATATTCAAGAAGAAAATAGTCTTTCATGTTTCAACCTGATAATAATGACCTAGCTTAACTGTTGGTGGAAGAGTGACTTTGAGTAAGTCTGATAAAAGGCTTCGTATAGCAGAGAGCTGTTCACTTGAGCTGGATAAATGCAGAAGAAAGACAACAGCAGCTTTCAGAAGATTGGACACCACGGAGAGAAATGTCATTTAATTATGATGATGAACTTAGTGGTCTTCGCAGAAACTGAAAGTCTTTGGCCCAGAGCTTAAAGTCCAAGATTTTTTTCTAAATCCATAATTTTAAAGGACCATAATACTTGCTAAAGTTTAGTTCTTCCTGGAAAAATTGAACTTCACGAGAATGTATGGTTTAGAATTTTCAGTCTGAAGATACTAAAGAAATAATTAGGTAAACAACTGCAGAGCTAATGAACATTCTGCTCTGGCATTCTGATGTAAAGCTGTGCTTTCTGTTAACTCCTACTTATATTCTTCAGGGTACTAAGCACCTAGCCTAAAGGTCATTACTAATTTGAAAACTAATTAGTACATTTAAGATGGATTTGTACTGCTAAATAGATAAAACTCAGAGTGCCTTGGAATAAGCACAAGTTTTCTTAAACTCACGCAAAAGAATCTCCAGGGAACAGTTCTGATTATTTTAATTTCTGGCAGGAAATAAAACAGAGATTATTCCTGTATGCAGCACTAACACAGACCACCTGCAGCAACTCAGGCTTGAAGCTCTTTGCGATTCCTGAACGTATAAGGAAAAGTTGTTATACACCAAGAATCTGGCAAATAAAAATACTTCCGCGGAATTCAGTTTTCTCTGTTTTCCTCTTATGATTACAATAAAATCTTATGCAACAGAACTCCTGAAGCTTGTGATAAAAAGGCACAATAATCTCACATCTTCCAACCACATTAATTCCAATAAGAAGCAAGAAAGATAAAATCTTTAAAGGCTCTTTGTACTATATAATCAATCATGCATTTAAACCATTTCAATGTCAAATTATTTTTGCGTGACTAGCTATAGGCCTACTCTTTCATCTCAAGGTCATTATTAAACCTGTCAAGCTCTGATTTTTAGGAGGCCTTCAAAAACCATCTGTCATTTTTGCAAGTGTGTAGTAGAAACAAACTTCATTCGGTCATTTGAACAAATAGCTCTCTACCAATTACATTCCTGAAACTGAAACAATCATTTAGTATATCTGCAAATACGCTTACTCTACTGTGCAATAATTCAAATCTTAACATTTTTCTTTTTTTTTAATAACATAGTATGTAACTAAACATGAATTGGAACCTGCCTTGCTGGACTCGAGAGTCTAGTAGCACTTTTCTTCCCCTCCTGCTCTTTGAAAATATGTTATCTCTAGTCAGTATCCATTTTTTTTCACTGGTGTGGTGAACCACTACTTGATTGATGGATAAGCCTATGAAAAATCTGCAAGCAATAGAAGTATCTGTAAATGTTGCTCTAAGCAAAACTCTGAAAGAATGGAAACAAGATTTTAATTAAAGAAAAGCATTAATTCCAACTTCACCTCCTTCATAATTTATTTTTTTTTTTTTTTATCCCGGTTCTTTTAACTGCCAAAGGTGATAGAGTGGATACAACCAGGGGAATAAAATGTCCACTCCTACAGCACCATACTCTTGGTGTTATAAACATCCATGGTTTTGTTTAACAGAATGGAAATTAACCCTTTCAGTCACATATGACTCTTCGCTTGCTTTCCAGCAGCTTCTCAAACTCCAGCTAACGCTATTCATCACTGCACGGGGCTGCAACAACATTTTCTATTTTGAGTTCTCCAGGATGACACAAGCCAGCAGCAGGGGGAGTGACGTGCTTAAGGTGAGTGGCACGGCAGGTAACCCAGCCCTTGGTCTCCTGAACTCTGACATTTACAGGGTTCACCTGGGCACACAGCCCAGCATCCCCTCCTCTTGTGCTGATTCTCTCTGACTGCTCTTGGTGCACTGCAGAAACCTCAGCTAGTTTCCTCAGGGGAGCACTTGAGCACTTCACATCCCCCAGGAATTTCTTTTAACTTTGGTGATACCCTGACAAGCATTATTATCCTGTCTCAAGCCCTGGTAGGGACTGACTGGGTATGGCATATGACAGCTAGAAGACACAAAAAGACAGGAAGATTGCACGTGGGCTGGGCTTGTAGATAACATGGATTTACTTACACATATACTGGGGGGAAAAATTAAAATTTAAAAAGTAGAAAATGTATGGAAGTAACACCTCTTAGTTTGGAACAGAACATTTCAGATGAGTAATATACAGACTTGCTTCCTTTAAACTGCTCCTTTACCCAATTGCACAGTAAGCTTCATTATAATGGTAAGTAAAAGGGACTGCAGAGAGTTTCCGTGGTACAAAACCCTAAGGGTATCCACGTAATAAGTGACAACAGTGTTTCTGTTTGCTTAAATTCATGATTAATCTTCATGTATGGGGTTGAATTATGGCTTCTTTATCATACATCTTCTCTATCTCATGTTATTTATACTACCTCAATTTCTCTCAGTAAACAAAATCCCCTCTTACAACCTATTTAACGCTTTTGAAACCTGCCTCAGGATCCCAGGTCTATGGACCAAAATAAAGCCAAGGTCACTGAAGTTGGAAGACACTTGCAGCAGGAACCAATTTTGTCCTACATCTTCAGTCTATCCTGGCGTCCACTTCAGGAAAAATAACCATAGCCCTCTCCTATCGCAACTTTTCAATTCCTTTTCATTCACATAACAAATTAATTTACATGAAATTAGGACAGGACATGAAATTACAGCAGGACAAAGCTTTCCAGGTAATCAGAAGATCAAATTACAATTTCTTCCATGAGAGACTTCCTAGCAAAGATGCACAGATTTTACAGGTTAATGGCACTGACCTCTGTCATGACAGACTAGCACATCACTGATAGGTATTAGTAGAGAATGGAAGATGTGACCTACTAAATCACCAGTCTTCCGGCTACTGCCTAAGTGGAGTTTTTGCCTAACATTCTATAAAAAGAGAAAGCCCTGAAATTCAGTGGGAAATTGAACACTGCATTTCAGAAGGAGCAATGCTAAATGACTTTGACACGTGATTATTTTTCCTTCCCATTATAAATGAAATTACATCAACTGAGAAGCTTGAGGCATGATGTCATTCCATAAAGCCCACTTAAACTTGAAAAATAATTAAATGATAGCGCGCTCCTGCCGCACACTCTCTTTGCTAAGGTAAATGACAACACCTAATGGAAAAGCTATTAACAGCTTATAGGAAAATTCTTTTCTCTGCGTTATCTTGACTCACTTGGTGTCCTTCTGACATGTGGAATACAATGCTGTTTTTCAATGTTCCACACTCTGAAGTTTCTTCTTTAGAGAAAAATGGAATGTTTTGTATATAAAGGAGCTCTAATTTGGTAGCATAATTAATACTGTAACCAAGGATATTGTTAGTAGAAGGTATGGTATGCATTTAGGCTGATACACACTTTAGGAACATACAACATGACCTGGAAGGTGAAACTATGTTCAGAGATAGAGAACCCACATCAGCAAACTCATCCAGATGCAGAGTTTGACTGACAGCCTGTATCTTTTCCATGCACGGAACAGGCTGAACGGTTCCATGCATGCAACGGGCTGAAGCAGACCCTCTGCTGTGTGACCTGAAATTGTTAAGGAGGAGCCCATCAGCCCATCAGGGACTGATATGTTTCCCATTTCCCTAGGTTAGCGAGAAAATCGTGAACATCAAAAGCCAGAAATGCTTTTGATAGACAAAAGCCTCTAAGATTGAATTGGGAAAAAAAGAAAGAAAAAAAACGAAAAAAATAAAACCACACAACTAGCTTTATGGATTTAGGAGAAAACATCACATATACAAGGACTAGTATATAATATGGGAATACCATTTTTAAAGAAGGAAGTACACAACATGCTTTTCACACATTTCTAACACTTTTAGAGCCATTCTACGCAGATTATTGGACCAGGAACCACTAAAAGACAAATGGAGAATGTAGTTCTGAAATTCTGATACTGAAGATTTACTTTACTCACTCTGTGCCTTAAAAAGATTTTGATTTGTAAGCTAATACAATAATCATAAGCAAATTATAGTCTCATCTCGTTTCTTTTTACTTCTATAGGAGCTAATAGTAACTTCAATTACCCTGAGAGTATATATATATAAATGCAACATAAAGTAAACCAATATGTATGTGGGCAAACATTAGAATTACACTAGTTTGAGTGTTGCTAGGATTTGTTCATTCAATATAAGGAGTGATCATTAACCTACCATTAAAATAACTGTCAATCATAGAAACACAAAATGGTTTGGGTTAGAAGGGACCTTAAAGTTGCCAGCCACTAGATGACATTGCTCAGGGCCCCATTCAACCTGGCCTTGAACACCTTCAGGGATGGGGCATCCACAACTTGTCTGGGTAGTCTGTTCCATTGCCTCACCACTCTCTAAGGAAAGAATTTTCTCATAACATCTAACCTAAATCTTTCCTCTTTTGGTTTAGAACTGTTCCCCCCTTGTCCTATCACTGTTTATAAGTTTTCTTCAAGTACTGGAAGGCCACAGTGAGGTCTCCTCAACACCTTCTCCAGACTGAACAAGCCCAGCTCCCTCAACCTTTCTTCATGGGAAAGATGCTCCAGTCCTCTGATCTGTGCCTCCTATGGACCTGTTCCATCAGCTCAGGATCCCAGGCTTGGATGCAATATAAGTCCAGATGGGGCCTCACAAAGGCAGAGTAGAGGGGGACAATCACCTCCCTCACCCTGCTGGCTGCCTCTATTTTGAAGCAGCCCAGAATACTTTTGGCCTTACGGGCCACAAATGCATATTGCTGGCTCACATCAAGCTTTTTGTCTACCAGAATCCCTCAGTCCTTCTCCACATATCAGACTGTTCCAACCCAAGTGCAACAATGATACATATGCATTAAATGCATACAAATGATTTTGTATGTCAAATGATACATTAATTTCATGATTTCTCTTAGTTCCATTTGCATCAGAATGTCATAAAGATGGCACAGCCAACATACGTATAATGGAAGTCAAGGTGGGCAAAACAACATTATTAATACAGTGGCATTAAGGTTCATTTATTCTTGTCCAGTACTATTCAATATGATGACACTGTAAATTTCTAATTTATTTGCTTTGTACTGATTCATTTTTAATACACTGCATTTCTTCCTATGGCATTTTATCAATCATTATTACTGTCTGTTAAATTTCACATTAAGGTTTTACTCTTTGAATAAAGTAAAAATCACGTTGCTTGTCAACCTTTTCAACTCGTGTCATTTCAGAATTAGCACAGACTTAATTCATCCTAGCCATTAGAAAATAAACAGCCTGCAATACACAACAGCCGGGAAATGCATAAGAAATAAAATAACCTGCTCCAGTTAACTTGCTTAAATGAAAGTAATTTAACTCACTAGAATTCTTTTTACTTGTTTTGAATCTTCAGAAGAGTCTTTCTTGTATGAAGGATAGCTTAAGCAAGTATGACAGTTGCAAACAGTAAGGTGTACAAATGTGCCTGGTAGTGGAGGCCATACAGTTGTATGATTTTCCTGTTTGTCATATAACTATAGCAAACAGACCACCTATTTGTCATTAGTGTGTGTAAACACTTCAATAGTGTAGGTAAAAGGATGTCCTTCCCTCATAACTGCACTTCATAACTTTAAAAGACCATCAGTAGCAAAACACAGTATTAAATACGGCAGGTAAAAATTCTGCCTCCAATTACACTTCATACAACACTAGAAGATGAACCTGTACACAAAATGTAAAGCATATGAAACTTAAAAACAGCCTCACCTTTAACATTCTTTCCAAATCCCATAGAAGCAGGAACTGCACTGTCTGCTTGTATTTTGCTATTTGTTTTCTCTTTCATGACTTCATCATCACTTGAAACATCATCAGAGTTCATTTTCTTTTTCTTTTTCTTTTTTTTATGTCGAGGAGGAAGCTTTTTTGGAAAGGTAAACATTGGAAATATCACAAGGAGCATTGCAATGGCACAAAGAAGAAATCCACTCCACCTAATGCCAGAAGATAGGAACAGAAATGAAAGGTAATACATTACATGAAATAAATATACCAAAGTGATTATTACAGACTATACTAGCTGGAAGGACATCTTTGCAAAATACACAACACTGAAATTAGAGTAAATTAATGGAGTGGAGAGGATCACTCACTGTGTTAAAACACTTAATTAGAAGACTCTTCTGTTGGCTTTTCTACTGATAAAGGTATTTATCTAGCAACCACCAAGTGATTTATGAAATAGGGTCAGCTTCAAATTCCTGAATATTTTTCTTCTGATAATTATTCAGTACTAAATCCTGAGAAGGAGATGTTCACTTTTACCTTGCCTTTCTTGGATATTTGCAATAAAGCAATACAGTATTCCTCTGGAGAACACAAAAATTTATCTTTGGCATTAACCATGATATAATGTCCAAACTGACATATCAGAGCTAAATCTGTTCTGCTTTCCAGTGCCTACTTTTCACTGCACTGACTGTTCAGCTCTCTCTCTTTCCAATGAAAAGCTCCTCAGAAGTCACCCCCAGAGTTCTTCCAATGTCCTGAAAGTGCGATTCTCCTCAGACGCTAATCTAATCTGCACTCGTGCCTGGAACATTCATTGAATTCAGCCACTTTACTCCAACATCCAAGCTCAACAACAGAAGTCTGAAGTTCTTTGATATCGTATCACAGCACATAGATGAAATGTTATGTTTTTGCACATCATTTACACTTAAAAAAAGAAGCTATTCCAGGAGGCTAATAATTAAATGTTTGTGCAAATTTTAAACATTTAGAAGTCCAGGATAGACAGGATTACTTGCACAATAAACAGAAATGTTTGGCAACACCTTCACAATGCAAAGATATTACAAACTGTACCATTAAATAAAGGTCAATTCATATGCATATGTAATGGTTATGCAAAGGTAAACACCAAACAAACTTTCACGTGTAACACCATTTTTGTTAGAAAGATTGTGCAAGGAGCTGTTCTGAGGCAAATATAAGTTACTGAAAGCTTTCACTAGTTTTGATATTACATAAACAGAAAATCCTCTATTGACTCATTTTAGCTAATAGAATACATAGGCTAGAAACCAGACTTTCAGGAGGATCAATCAGCACTATCAGATGGGGAATAAATTGGTAGAATGTGTAAAAATGCAGTAACACCCCTTCCAGGATCTCAAAGGCAGAAGCTGCACTGATCAAAGAAACGATCTGTGGAAATAATACGCAGAAATCTGAAGCCACTCAGAGGGGAAACAGCAAAGGAGACAAGGCCTTGTGATGTATCATGAGATAAAATTGAAATCCAAAGCAATCTGTATGGAAGCATACCAAGTGCTGGAGATGTCACAAATGCAGCACTGTATGTAATTATGTGCACTGTCTACATTTCACATCTTCCTGGAGAAGTATCAAAGAACTGGAAAACAGACAAAAGAGTATGCCAAAAATAATAAAGACACCTACAATAGAAAATGAGAGGTCAGAATAGGATCTATAGATTAATTAAAAAGCCCTTGATTTCCTGTGTTCTAAAGTCAAAGAAAATATGTAGTGGAATACCTCAAAGGCATCTGCAGAAATCCAAAGACCTCAGATAAAAGCAATTAAAACTCAGGGAGGACCAGACAGTGCTGAAGGAATTCCTTTAAACTTCTTGCGTGGAATGATGATGAAAGACAATATGAGAAGTTCCAAGTATTAAACAGATTCAGAACTAGGCAAACAGAAAAGTGTCAGCAAAAGAAAAGTTGATTCAAAGCACTTGACAGACAGCCAAGGGCTACTCCACAACTAACGAGATCTCTATACAGCACATTAGCAGTTTTTAAAGACAACAACATGACAAATGATTTCTTACAGATGTCCAGTTACCATATTTGAATAAAAAGCAGTTTTCAATATTTGATGCGATGACAAAGACAGCTGGCCTGTAATTTAGTCCAGAGCACCTACAAAATCCCAGGTGTGTAAACCCAAACTGCGCAAAACAAGGAAGCAACAGATCAGAAATAACCCAAAAGCAGCACTTACTTAATCAGGTCTGACATGAGATAAAGTTGCCCATCCGGAATACATGCAAAATACTTCTTAGAAAGGAACTGCTTAAGTAAAAAAAAATAGACCTTGGAGCAATTTTTGTTGCCGTATATCATAGCTGCTTTACTTACTATCTTGTCTGTAAAGATAACCTGCTTTAATAGTGGAATTTTTCCACTGGTCCCTGTGATAAGTAGAGTGAGAAACCTTGCAGCTGTAATAAAGAAAAGATGAAAATCAAAGACATTAATTCACTTCAAAGAAGACAAGGTTGAGAAATCTCAAATATGACTGGCCATTACCTTATCTCAACTGCACCCTACTTTTGAAAAGCACATCAGCTCTCTGAAGTCAGCATTAGACTACTCTTACATTTCAAATTGTTAGATTACATAAATAAAAATAAACTTGGCTACGCAGCACTTCCCTGCAAGGAGAAAATGTCACAGTCCCAGAAAATAGATTTCAATGGAATGAAAGTCAACACTTCCAGAGCACTCTGCAACCAGGCAATCACTAAGTAGCAAGGGACAAAGGACTAGCAGGCACACCATTAGAGTCATTTTAATAGATAAAGCTTTCAAAAAAAAAAAAAAAGAAAGAAAGAAAAAAAAATAAAGCACAGATGCTCTGAAACCACTGAACTATCACTAGAAGCCACCACATGAAACTTAATTATGAGAGATGTGATAGCAGGCAAAAATCTTAAGAAAGTTAAGAGAAAAAATATAGAGTGCCAAAACCAAAAGAATAATACTGGAACACCCTTCAGCAATAGCTAATCCACAGATTTAATAAGCACGAGGGAAAAAGGAAACTTTGACTTTTCTGGGCAGGACAGAACATGACAACTATGACAGCTGATTTCCTGCCCTTCCTTCAGTCCTATTTGTATCACTTCTACAGGCACTCCTCTGCTAAACTGAAATCACCAAGATATCTGTCCAAGTGATATTAAGCCTTGGAGATACATAAAATCCATTTAGTGGTTTAACATAACATCTTCCAAATGTACAAACAGGACTCTGTCTTACTTGCAAGATCTGGCACAGTAGATGTTCTCAAAGCCTAAGAACAGGTCAGGTTGTATGAGGTGACCCCTCACCACTCCTGCTCAGTGGCTACAACCACTCTTGCAGGATATCTGGAACCCATCCTGGTAGTCATTCTTCTGAGGAAGGGAAGCTGAACTTGTAATCCATGAGCAAGGACAGGCATTTTTCTGGCTAATCTCTCTTATAAATGTAGCCAAACCCAGCTGTAAACCAAGAACAGTGGTAGTCCATCTGATGCAGAACATAGATTGGTGCAAATGGCTTGATAAGTAGCTAATCCTGATATCCTTAGACACACGTGAAGCATAAGAATTTTAATAAAAATGTATAATTTTTTGCGCTAGTCTAAAATCTTTTATTCAAAATTAGCCAGAGTGCTTCTTTAACACTGCAGTACATTCACATCACAGATCTTTTCTGTGAGATATAAATGAGAGCACAGAGCAGCTCAGGTTAACCAAGCACTCAGGTTTCTTTGTCTCTCACTGAAAATTCATCCAAACAGTCCCGTGCATCAATGCTCTCGGGCTAAGTAAGGCAGATAAAGCAGTGATAAATCTTCAGAGGTCTAGGCACACTCCAAAGAATGAATTTTTCATACCAAACTGTGAAGATTGATCATTGTAGGTTAAACAGAAGCAGATATGGTCTGACTGAAATGTCATCGTGATAAGTACTTATCCAGTGCATCAGATATGAAACTGTACTCTATACCATACCAGGGTCAAGAATCAGAAAAACCCTATCAAAGACATGCTGGAAAGCCAAAGAAGGGATGTATCCAGCCTCTACTGGGAAAGACTCAACCCTACGCAGCCGTGATCTCAAAAGTCTCCTAAACATAGCAGTATCCTGTCCTGCTATTTCTGTGCTGAGGGCTGTCAGTCCATATCCAGCAAGTCAGTCAGAGCAGCTCCTGGCACAGCCAAAACAGGAGATTTTTTCATTAAATGTGCACATATGTTTCTGTGGCAAGCATTTCCTTTCTGTCAAGACCTAGCATGCAATAATCAATAGAAATCTCTCTCTTCTTCCTTGACCTCCTTCCGTAGACCTAAATATGCCCTCAAGGGATACAGTTGCCCACGCTACCTCAGTTCCCTACTGGCAAGAGTAGCCCTGAAAAATGCTTGACCCTTACCAGTTTCCAATGAATCGGGGATCATTCTGGTCAATATAAACAGTTGTCCTAGGATCAACATAGAAACCAATGAGAAGTCCTCCCAGTAAGTAGCCAGCTGCAGGACCGAGTGCTCCCATGACATACATGATGGCTGAGGAAACAAAAGATCCAAGTTGTAAATCAGTATAAAGAACACTTAATTACTCATTTACATGTAAATTAGGGATCCAAAAGTAAAAGATGTCTCATCAAGCAGAAAATTTTGTACCCAGAATTTCCTTCAAAGAAACAAACAAACAAAAATCTTCAAAGGCTTTGCATAAAGCAAAGTATTAATAAGAACATTACTGTTTTCTGCACATTTTCAGATTACAGATGGAAAAGTACACTATTTTGGTATTTTGGATGGGAAGCATATATGGTTTTGACAATATTTTTCAACATTTGTAACATTTGTATCTTCTCTGAATAAAAACAGAATTTGAAACATAAAATATAATCAACAGTACGCAAACAAAAAAGCAATGGATAAAACTTATACAAGGCAGGAAAGCACAAAGTACAACATTCCAGAATAGTTACTATCAGACTAATACTGGATTTAAAAGAACCAAAGTTTAGACATCAAATATTCCAATTTTTGGAGACTGACAGAATGACAGTTTTTATTCATGCAGTCACCAACTTGGCCCTGTTGTACACACTGACAGCAACAGACCACATATACCATATTTCCACAGGACTCCTTCCTTGTTCAAAAGATTTAAAATTCTAATGTTATTATTAAAGAAACTTCCTAATTTAAAAAGCTAGTTAAATGAAAAAGAAATTCTCACATGCAACAATGCAGACATTCATTTTACAACACCTTCACCATCTCAGTGCTGGATGAAAGCAAAATCTTTATCACTTGAAATAACAGAGTGGGCTCCTATCTGCAATGCCTTCTACAAGACACTCTTTGCAGAGAGCCTCCAGTCCTCATCCTTCAAAAACCCACACCAGGGCATTTCTGAGAAAGCGTCACAGCTTCTGTTTGCTTGCATGCCTGTGCAGTCAGGAACAAGGAAGAGACAGAGGCAGGAACAGACTACAAATGTGTTTCATCTTGGTGTTGGGCTGAACCCCAGCTGGGCCTGGGAACCAGGAAACCCTTCTGCATCTCTCAGTGCAGACAGAATCGTGAGACAACAGAACATCTGCTATTTGCTGACAAGAATCCAAGCGGTGAAATTTAGAACTCCTGTTTCCATTTCCAGTTTTTGAATGGCAGATAATTTGAAGTCTGTCAGTTGTCTTGCCCTTAAGCTCCATCAATTTTGCTTCCTTCCTTTCCTACTTCTGCAAAACCCGAGTCAACTTTTGAACTAAGCCAAGGTCAGTTATCACAGCCCTAAACAAGACCTTTCTCCTATTCTCCACCCGTGGACACAGAGTGGTCCTGTGTGGAATCAGGAACTGGACTTGATGCTCCGTATGGATCCCTTCCAATTTGGAAAATTCTGTGATTCTATGATCTATTTCCCTCCTTAATGCATGCTGCAGCACCCATCCCCTTTAGAATGTTTTTATCCCATGCATGAAAGCATGAAAGATCCAATAGATTATAAGGGACAATCTTTGCTGCACACTTGCCTGTGGTACCCATAGGTACCACAAAAACCCCAAGCTCCAGCAGCACAGCAACACAAGTGCTGCAGTCTCACTACACGCAGCGCATCAAAAGAGACCTGGCAATCTAATCACCTAAAATGATCATCTTGGCTCTGGCATCTCCACCTCCACATGGTTTCAGTGGAGCAGTCAGTCTCCCTGGTAGACCACATCTTGTTTGGTCCCACCTTCAATCAGACAAGCACAATCCTGGGGCTGCAGCCACTGAGGGAGCACAATGGAGTTGTAGAAGCCCACCTTTCTTGACAGTACTTAGAGTAAATTATATCTCACAGACAAAATAAATAAAATCAGGAAATCTGCCTGCTTAGACCAAAGTACCTCATACATTTTCATCTCGTGTTTTAAAAGAGAAAGATGAGAATAATCTCAAGAGTAAAAAGGGGCTGTTTATCAAGGACCTATATTGCAGAAAAAAAATGACACAAAAGCTGCTACAAAAGGTAAACTGCCTGCATAAAAAGTATTTTTCAGTCTACAAAATGTATTTATTACTTTTAAATTGCTCCTTCTAAATCACATTTTCAATTTTTACGAAGCTGTAATTCGAAATAATTAGATTTCTCTAAGGTCCTTTTTGCTTAATGGTTTCCAGAACTGTGTTCACTACTTAAATTTATTCCAGCCATGTTCCCCTCTGCCTTGATTGCAAACAATTCTTTGCATGTGTAAAATGCTCCATCACACATTATAACACCGCTATTTACCACCAGTAAGTGGTTAAACTGCACAGTAGCTGTTATTTGTATAATTCATGTCATAAGGAGAGGGAAAAAAAAAAAAAACACATCGTAATAAATTATGTTCAATGAATACTTTCTTAGAAAATTGATTCAATGAAGTACAGTAAATTCAGGTCTCTAAAAAGTTTACAGAGAGAAAACACAAAGGGAGTAAAAGAGTGACCTAATCCATTCATTTCAGCATTCAGAAAAAATACTTACACTGCATTTATTCAACTTCAAGTCCACCACTGAAACAGGGAAAATGCAGCAGCTGCTTGGGCTCAGCAGCACTACTCAGCACTTGTGCTATGTTACACCTGGTAACTTCAGAGGCTGTTCTTATAAGCAGAAATTCTGTGCACTAAAGATAAAAATAAGTGAACACTACGTTCCATTAGTGGAGGTGATGCTGCCAACCATTTCAGAAGGTTTTTTTTGCTGCTCAAGTTTTCTTTCTTTCTTTCTCTATTTATTTATTTATTTATTTATTTATTTATTTATTTATTTAAATACAGCTTACAGATAACATGCAACATTCTAAATATTTCAGAAAACAGGGATATCCCACGTCTGGCTCAGGGCATAAATGAAACAATAAGCTCATGGGTTTCATAACTGCTATTTTAGCCACTGCAACAACTTCTTCAGTACCTAATAATGGTCACAATCAAAGACAAGATATTAGGTGTAGTAAATTGATCCCGATTTCTAAATAGGACTAAAGGTGGAGTGTGGCAAAAAAAGTATTTTGATATTTCAAAATGAGGTACTTGACAAAATCTGTCCCAAACTGCTAAACTTTGCTGTGAAAATGAAGCTATATCCAAGGTATGGCCTTAAGTTGAGCCAGGGGAGGTTCAGGTTGTATATTAGGAAAAATTTCTTCTTAGAAAGAGTGGTGAGACACTGGAACAGGCTGCCCAGGGAGGATGTGGAGTAATCATTCCAGGAGGTGTACAAGAAATAGGTAGACGTGGCACTAAAGAATGTGGTTTGGTGGCATGGCGGGCATGGGTTGATGGTTTAACTAGGTAATCTTAGTTGTCTTTTCCAACCTTAATGGTTCTATGATTCCAGGAGTCAGCCAGCCAGCCTGCTCTGGAGCCCTGAAAGACTCCATGACAATGCACCCAAGCAGGCCACCAATATTACCAGATGATACACAGAGGAAACTAAACTGGAAATAGATTCAGCCAGGGCATCATCAAAATTGAACTCTCTTCACAAACACAAAGTTTTGGTTTTTTTTAACCTGAGGACATCCTCTGCCTCACTGAGTATACCACTGGCATGGCACATTATGTCAGGTGCAACACCATACCACCCAGTCTAGGCGTACAGTTTCCACTTACAGCTGGCTATGGCTAGTTTAGCCACAGACATGTATCACAGCCAAGACTCTAGATGGGAGAAGAAGATAGTCAGAACAACAGTAATTGAATCACACACAGAATTTACCTACCAAATAAAAGAGAATTAAGCAATATCATTTTTATCCATTGAAAAGTTTATCCTAGTACATGTTCCAATGAATACTTCCATTCTGACAAAACAAAAATATTGTCTACTGCTTCTGATCATAGGACTTTCTCCTTCCAGAGAGGAAGAATCTACAGAGACCCTATTGTAGCAAAGCCACTGTGATTACAGTAAGACGGACTGAATCCTCTATGGGTCTAAAAATCCCTGTGCTTACAGTACACGCATAAAACAACATGGTTACCGAAGGTATTTTTTCAATCTATTCACACAATAAAAACATATGCAAAGGTCATAAAAGTACTTGGAAAGTCCCTTTCCTCTCCTCCTACAATGGCACCAAATGACAACCAGCCTCTATGCATTTCGAGTATGAGGATACATATCCCTGTGGCATCATAAAATGCATACCCCTTCAACCGTGCCTTTCCATGTTAGTAATTGCTAGCACCAATAAAAGTAGCAAGCACCATGTTCTGCCTAAATGAACAGAAAGTCCACATTAGTGGTCTACACCAGGCCATCTGGCTCCTGGGTTCTAGACAAGTTACTTTGTTTAAAAAGTAAAAACAAAGCAATATATTGCTCAGTCCCCTGCCTGTTCTCTGCGTGCACAAACATCACCACACAAAGTTTAGCACTGGATGGAGAGGAACATTTCTGAAAGACCCCACTGTTACAGTCTTGGCAGCACATCACCACAGTACAACCATCCACTTCATACATGTGTAAGGCAAGCAGAATTTGAACTTTATTCTACTTTCAATTAAAGTTTAGAATTTGCAAAATCCTGCAAAACATACAGTGCTCATTCTGGAGGGATGTTTTTGGTTTGCTTTTTTTTTTTTTTTCATACGCCTATTTTTTTTTTCCTGTCAGGACAGTAATGCAATTTTGTTTCATTTTGCAGGATACTTTTTTAGTGAGACAGAGATATAATCTTTTTTTTTTTATCTGTAGATTTCAAATTTTTACTCCAAAAGATTAACTGCCACCATAAAATGAAGCTGTAGATTGGAAAACAGAGATACAAAGGATAAAATGAATCACCTACAGTTATGTAGCAGAGTGGAAAGGCCAGGAGTACAATTTACTTCCCCAAAGCAATAACTGTGTTCTGCCTGCTGAACAGCATTCATCCTGAAAGAACAGCAAGGGAAGAATAAAAATGGCTCAAAAAGAAAACACTCACGAATTCCTAAGTAAAGGCCCGTGTTTATAGGTTACCTGTTTACAAGCAGAGGAATGAGCCTTAATAGAAATGACAAGATAA